ACAGGAGTTTAAGAACCACAGGAAGTGCACAGTGCTATTCAGTAAGGTGGTTAAATTTAACATATAGGATTACACTTTCTCAGAAAAGTACGAATTCTTGTGCTTTTAACGATGAATTCATGATTCGAACCCACTCTCTCCGTGGGGTTGAATTTAACCCACTCAGGAAAAGCATTTTTCACAAAAACCAATTGTTGTGTTTAATGAACTACAGGAAAGTAACATGACAGAGGTATAATATGCATCACATTCAATTCAAACACGCCACGACATACACACGATCAGCATAGATATACAGTATTCTTTTACGAGCTCATGTAAATAAGATTTCTGAGGCCTCATTGACAGGTCGTCTGGGTTGGCGCTCTTGACCTGGATGCATCAACACAGTAATAGTATGTGCAGTGAGCGTAACGTTTAACACAGTTTGACTGAGTATTTCACTTCCTGGTTGCTTAACATGGCGGGTGTCTGGATATTCGTTGTGGTGGTGTTAGTTCGATGGATACAGCTGACATCGGGTGAGTACATCAGTCGATTTAATTACCACGAAGTATTCATGTCTTCCTCGGGCACGTGTACATCACTGCAAGTAAGCAATTGCATATTTGAATGTAGTGAGACGAGTATGCTCTATACAGTTTTTGACAAATTTGTTTTGCAAGTGCTATATATAGGCGACGCCGTGAACTATTTCATTGTGCATCTCAGCCCCCTGGATAATACCAACCGTATAAGGAGAGAGGAAAGAGCAAGATGTACTCTACAACTCTAAAACATCATTTTCACTAAGATATTCCATTAACCTTGACTGTATTGATCATTCCATCACAAGGGATAATATTTCAAAATTTCATCAATGAAGGATCTTCTTAATGTTAGATCGTTTTTAATTATTGTTTTTTGAAAGAAACTGATTTATTACACAAGTTTCGATTGATATGTTTTGAATATAATAACAGATTTTATAAAATAACTCAGATTGTTTGTGGCTGTACTCTTGAAGGGGGTTGAAGTACTATAAAACTAATTTTCCCTCTGATGGGGTACTGTAAGTCCATACCATTCAAAGTATATTTTATCTACCACTGGTTTTAAACGTAGAATGTTTGTCATTTGAATTTCGGCTACAATTCCTCAATTTTACCAACAACTGAACAGATGATGTAAATTCAGCTAGGGTCCATGCAGGTAGCCAAAGTACTGTAAGTCCCCATGGTCCCTAGTATTGGATATCTACCTTCATTTGTTGGCAATCTAAAGCTCATTTGTATATTGTATTGCTCTGTAGAAATATTTTTTATGATTACATACCAGTTTTAAGTATACATCTGTGATAATCTAGATATTTCACTGTCCTTCGTTGACAGATATTTATATTGCCTGAGTTTATTTTCTGATATACAACACTCATAGTCACGATATGGCTGAAATACTGCCGATGTGACTTTAAATGTTAACTCACTCACACACTATTCTATTAACCTCTCGAAATCTTTAACTTCGCTTCAATATGGATCCATCCTGCACTTTACTAACCTACAAAGTACTATAAATTATGCATGAAGGAAAAGCTGCTTGTTCGTCACAAGTAATCTATGTATCTTGTGTTTTTTCTACGCTGAACGTTTAACTACAAACAGATACAAATATGTCACAACTTGAACATGAGCGTTGGCACTTGATCAAAATACATCCTCACTGCAGTCGTCGTCAAACATGACCTTGACCTAATCCTGAGTCATACAGGACGTTTAGTCACCCGCACACATTATTCAATCATCCAAACCCAGAAGTGAAGTCAGTATATAGGATATGTCATCCACAGCACGGTATCAAATGATCAATGCATCTAGGCATACAGCAGAGTTTTATCATCCACTGTCCTGTCATCCCATACCAGTTGTCCGGTCGTCAGTAAACACGCATAAGCCACATTGACAAGTTTGTTTATTTTGATATTTGTATGTTGTTAGGTAAGCAAAACCAAATACGTATTATCAATCAACCGTATCGAGGAGGTCTCATCGAATCATGAGGTTCTGCCTATGATCCTGTTATTCTACCCCAGGGTCCCCTGTCAGCTCCAATCCGTGGTTTTGTTATCGCTTCCTCAGAGTCTTTTTATCCCTTTCACAGGTCCTGTAATACCTTCTCCTTGTATCTCTCCTTAGATAGTGTGCTTCCAACCCCAGGGGTCAGTCCTACCCTGGCTGCCCTACTTTGGGGTCATGTCATCTCTATCTTTTGGTTCTGTTATCCCTTCCAAAGGATCAGTGTGTTCACTCACCCCTGTCCCTAGCAATATATACCATCATCACCAGTCTAGGATCTATTAAATCTACCAAGGGCCCTGCCGTTTCAGTCTTAGGGTCCCCAGTATTCCCTAAAGAAGTGTTCTGTGAAACCTATCCCGGGTCCTCTCATATCTGGATTCTATCAATACTACCCCAGGATCATATATCCCTACTCAGACCCCTACCTCGAGTCATAATAGCAATATGATTTGGTCTTATTACCAATATGCCTAGGTCATCCCTGACTTCAGGGCTCCGTCTAGCCGACCTCAGTCTACCGCCCCGAACTCAAATGTTCATAACATCCCTGCTCAGTCTACCGTCCCTAACTCAAATGTTGATAACTTCCCTATCTTTCTACCCTGTCCTGTCTAGTTCTGAGTCCTAAACCTATGTCACTTGATTTCTATTTCGCTGCCCTGTCAAGCCTTACACACATTCCTACCACAGGGTTCAGTCAACCCTACCTCATGTAACATGATCCCTGAAATGTAGGTTTTGTCACACCATTTAATCATCCATAACCCGAATGCCAGTCACTGATACATCTGTACATGCATCTTTTATGTTTAGAATCCCGTCGTTGAAAGCCCTTGGTCCAATCCTCCGCATCCAAAGTTTAGTCACTCTTTACAAAAATACCAAGGCAAAATACCAATAATCTTAATCTGTAAATAGACATGATATCAGGTGTGTCAGGTGAGAATGTCAGGTGAAACCATTGAACAGTTTACATCGTTGAATTACTTGTGAAATGTTCCATTCATCTATGAGGTTATCAGGGTTAGTAAGTACGTCAGTGAGCGTATATTGAAGGATTTGTAGAGCTGTTGCTGTTAATTAGATAAAGTATATGCCTTAAAGATAAACATATTAAAAATGCATTTTTGATATTATAAAATATCAAAAATGCAAAATGCAATATTAAAGAATCATTCAACAAATATGACTGAAATATCCCAGAACACAATAATTAAGTTAGTTGCATAGAATCTCAATTTAACGATGAACAGATGTTGAAGTTTCAACTCGTAATCGTCTCCATGAGTCTGGTCTCTGGACTCGTCCGTAGGTCATGTAATCTGCTCTTCAGGGGCAAATACGATTGACTTGTGCTTACGCCTCAGTTGGGCAAGCCCCGAGTACTTTTCACGGATGAATCGAGCAAATGTTATCGAACATATGTGGAACGAGCTGCAGGTCACCATCTTACAACGCCCTTTCCCTCGTGCAACTACACAAGAAGCCGGAAATGCTCTTATTGAAGAGCAGAACAATCTTTTGGCAACGATCAATTATTGAGAGCAGGAAACGATGGTGATAAGCTGTGTTACAACACCCTGAATCACTTACATGCAACTGAGAGTTGCTGTTAAAATCATTAATAAACTACTATTTATGATACTGTAGTTATGGTCACTATTCTCTCATTTCAACAGATAAACAGTCAAATGATATTTGTCGGAGGATTGGAATCCCTAATCCCAAATCCCGAATCCGTTTCTAACTTCATGTTCCTTTGCAAAGTTACATACAGTCCCTCAAGCATACCACATAAAAGCAAGCTTATATTCCTTGTTTATACCAGCAACAAAGTTTTACATAATAATGTAGTTCAGTGGATGTGTAATAGACCAATAGCAGACACTTCTGATAACGCGATTCATGCAAGCGGAACTGGTTTACGATGTAAATCCTTTGAAATAATGTGTCTACATGACTTATGCGTTTTGAAGATAGGAGCAAGAAATGTACATGTCCAATATCAGGATTGTTTAATATTAGAACTGTATTCACAAGTATGGCATTGACACAACATACAGTAGTATAGGAGTAGTTCATGTTTTTGTTTGCACAAAGATATCCGATACACCGGCCTTTCACTTTTAATTATACACGTGGCTATGCAACGTTTTATGGATAATTATATTTCGAAGTATGATTTCAAAAAGGGCAGTGTGCAATCCTCTCACCCGTTCAGTTGTTCCCACTGGAACAAAGGCGACAAAGATACTAAACTCGTTGTGTGTCCTTAATGTCCTTGATAAATTACCTTTCTTTACTCAAATAGCTTCTTGTAAAACCTGTTTACAACGTATTTTTTTGTGTGCCGGTTAATAATTGTTGTTACTCTCTTGTCACTCAGGTTAAGGAAAGGTTGGAATAATAATATACACATATAAACAAACAAACAAGTTAGAAAAAGTGAATCCCCAAGCATATCTACAACATGGTATTTTGCAGCTGCAACGGCTTTTATCACTGCACTACACTTCTCTGTTTCTCTTAACAGGTTCCTGCACACCAGGACAGTTTGGAGACTCTTGTAGCTACTCTTGTCACTGTCAGACATCATGTGACGAGACAACAGGTGCCTGTACTGGTGATTGTGACACTGGATGGAAGAAGGCAGGGGGGCTTTGCCAGAAACGTTAGTGCCACCTACATTTTAAGCTCTTCCTACCATACATTATCAGGTTAATGATATACACACAACGTGCATGTATGATACATATGTAATACAACAGTAGCTTGCATGCGTGTGGTTTTCATAATGATCTCAAGAGAAGAGTTTTCGACTGTCCCCTTGAAATAGATGTGATGACATCAGACTTTTTTGGGTTGTATTTAAATACAGGGTCGGGAGCACATACTGAGATCTGTATAGACGCTTGCGAGTATAATGATTGTTGTACTACACAGAAAACATTGCACTGAACAAGGCAGCATCAACATCATCTGAAGTGTACGAAGACTGGTACCCATCAAAGGCTGTGGATGGAGACAGTGACATAGGCGGTGAGGATAGAACCTGTTTCCACGCTAATAGCACTCCATCAGACTGGACAGTGGATCTGGGCCAGGAGTTCCAGCTGTATGACATCAGGATCTACAGTAGACGTAGATGTAGGTATCCAGGCATCGTGTTATTCCGATTGTCGGAAACCTGTATTAGACTGTAGTGTATCTATTTTTAGATTTTAGTCCTCCAAGGAACAATCACCATAGGCTCATTCAAGTCTTTTAGTACATCAGAAAATATCAGTTTATACAAACAAGCAATTCAGGGGTGATTAAGTGGCACTATAAAATATGCTGCAATGATAACATATGCTTCAACACGTGACATACACTCCACATCCATGAATTAGGTTAAAAGCAAATTCAGTCTCAAGGTTGTCTATAGATCACAATAATCTTTGGGACAAAAGACAGGACACTTTCCGTGCAGATGGCTGGTATTTGTTCCAAACTTAACGAAAAAATATGCCATTATTTTCTCATACGCATATGCTCAATCTATAACAATAACAGCAAGCGCCAATGCCTTGGTGATATCTTATCTGATTTTATATAAATCTTATTATTGCCTGGACTCTTTATTAATCAATTTAAAAGCGTTATATACCCCAACACAAGGTCATTCATCCGAATTCCATCAACACCACATATTTATTCACACTTGATAATAATGATAACGTTTCTAAAAAGACACCACAGTTAGACAGTAAAAAACTAGTAAGTAACTTTTAGGATTTAAAAATGGGCTGGAGATCACCAGCAAATGTATCACACGATAGTATTTTTGGTTTGTGAATTCGGAATATACACAATGTAGTAGCTGGCCAAGATTTATGTTTGTAGATCAAACTATAATTTGTTTTGTGGTGCAATATGGTATATTCTTGTTTTTCTTCTGAAACCATTTATGTGTTTTGACGGTCTTTGGCACATAAACAAACTTTGACAGTAAGTTCCTTTATAATGTTTTTGTGTTGATGTGTAGACATTGGTGCATAAGGCAAAGAGGACAAACATGTCAGCAATTTGTGTAGTAATCTTCAACTGTATTCACCATCATATACTTGCTTACAGCAAGAACTAGTTGACAGATGAATATCTTGTTCTGAAATTAACAGTTAAACTGCTAATAATAAACATGTCTCACGTTTAACATGAAAATATACTTAAAGTTATAAACTTTCCAATTATGTCATGTACTTGACATAAATATCCAAAGCATCAACACTATTACTGAATGCTGAAAATAATACCTAGACATTCTGACACTGACACTGGTGCATTACTATCACTACTCTTTACACCTTTCACAAAATATGCAAAATTAACTCTTTGTGAAAATACTAGCAAAATATAATGAATAATTCTTACCAGACACTGCTCTGACTTGAACGATTATTACTTCGCTAATGTGAAACTAACAAACTCACATGAAGGTATACCTCGCGCATCGAAGTGCACGAAAACTGAGAACACTGTGTAAAACTAACACTACAACTACATTAATTTACATTAACTTTACTGTATTAAACTTATTTCGTGACACAGAATGGAATAAAATACCTGAAGAGTGGTGTCTTAACACAACATTGCTCATAGGCGAGTGATACAGGGTAGACCATGCCGTCTGTGTCGGCTACATGAAAACTCCGCTCTCTGCATAGCAGGGAGACATCATTATATACTTTTGCAAGGGAGAAGTCATTGCTACGACAAACCATTAAAGTTCAAACTTCTGGTTTAAAATAACTATTCTCAACAGCCTTTTTGTAATTATATGATGTGCCATGTACATATAAACATAACTAAAAAATAGTGATTGAATTTGGTTTACTTAATTTACAGGCAGCACTTCTGAATCGAGCGCTGATATTGTCCATTCTTAGTCTTGACCTTTGACATTCCGCACGACTACATCATGTCCAGGAAACACTTCTACGATCCTGGCAAGATCCCACTTTCCTCTGGGAGAATTATAGTCAACTAGGAGTACAACATCACCAACCTGCAGTTGTCTCCCCTGAATGCACCACTTTGCACTTGCATCAATGTTGGCATGTATTCTCTGATAAAACGTTTCCAAAACTGTTGTACCAACATCTGCACAAACTGGAATCTCTTGTGAAGATTCTTTGTCTCTTGATATGGCCCCTGTGGAATGTCCACAGTCGCTCTTCCAAGTAAGAAGTGATTTGGGGTCAATGGCTGGAGATTGTTGGGATCACTACTTGTGTATCCTTGGGGTCTACTATTTAACAAACACTCAGCTTCAGCAAATGCAGTAGACATCTCGTTCCAGGACAACACTTGTTGACCTATAGCAACACCCAGTGCACGCTTCGTCTGCTTGATCAAACTTTCATAAAGTCCCCCTTGATGTGGGCTAAGTGGAGTTATGAATTTCCACTTGACTTTATGCAATACTGCAAAGTTCTCAATGTCCTTCCTTTCTTCCACTACTAAACTCCTCAATTCCTTCTGTGCTCCTTCAAAGGAGGTCCCATTATCTGATATAATGGTATCCGGCCACCCGTGATACGACACAAAGTGACGTAGAGCATGGAGAAAAGCCTGGGTTGATAACCCGTCCACTATTTCCAGATGAATAGCTCTCACACTAGCGCAGGCAAATAAAGCGCCCCATGCCTTTGTGGTTTTATTCCGCCCATATTTTAGAATGAATGGTCCAAATAGGTCAACACCTTTGACCGAGAACGTTGGCGAGAATGGACGAAGTCTCTCAGGTGGGAGATCTGCCATCACAGTAGTGTGTGCAGGTTGTCGCAACTTTCGACACACAACACAATTCCGCACAACATACTTTGCAAGGTTCCTTCTCTTCTCTTGGCCTGCATGAGCCACTTTCACATGAGCATCTTCCATGATAAGCTCTGACACATGATTTCCCCTGGGTAAGTAGAATGGGATGTTTCTCGTCATATTGTAACGCTGTTGTATGACGCAACCGGCCGCCAACTCTGATGATTCCATTTTCCATGAATGGCGCGAGATCCAAGTACTGGGTTTCCCAGTCCAATAGTGAAAGCTGAACTGTTTTCACCCAGTACCTCTCAGCATGCTCAATTTCTTCACACTGTAGACTGTCTTCAGTTACTCTAATTTGAGCTGTCTTTCTTATCACTCTCTGTTTCAATCTAAGTAAGAATCTGAAACAATAGGCTGTCACTCTCAATAGCTTCTTCCAACATGAGAATCTCTCTGAAACAATCACATTTGCCACAGATGAACACATGCCGATGATCTTTGGCTTCTTCTTTTCTAGTAATTCACTGGACACTGTATTCTTTACCATATTCTCTGGCCACTGACTTCCTGGACCATGAAGGAAAGACGGTCCATGAAGCCATCTTCCTCCTAACTCACATACTGATATTCCGCAACTGAGATCGTCAGCAACATTTAGTGATGTCGGAACATATCTTCAGTGATCGGCATTCCAAGTAGACTGTATTTCTCCTATTCTGACTCCAACAAATGCTTTGAAGTTTAGAGAGTCAGCTCGTATCCAATGGAGAACAATCTGTGAATCACTCCACAGGATTACTCTTGATGGTTTTTCTTTGAACTCTTGAACTATAGTCGTTGCGAGTCTTGACGCAACTAACGCCGCCATCAGCTCCAACCTGGGGACTGTGGTCTGCTGTAATGGAGCAACTCTTGCCTTTGCTGAAACTAGCTGCACATGTGGTCCCTCTGAGGTAGGCCATAACATATACGCAACCGCACCGTAGGCTTGGGCACTTGCGTCCCCAAACACATGTAACTCAGACTGTCCAGTAACCTCATTTGGTTTCAAACATCTTGGATAGGACACTGTATGAAGCTGTCTCAGATTTCCAAATATGCTCTTCCATAGGGAACACATAGTATCTTTCATCCGCCACACATCTTGCATCGCCATCCTGGCTGTAATTGTCACAGCTGATGCCAAGCTGAGCGGGTCATAGATTCTTGATATTCTTGAGAAGACGTTTCTCTTTGAAATGTCTCAACACACAAATTTGCAACTCGAAACTGAATAGTGTCCTTCACTGGGTTCCATACTACACCTAGCGTTTTGACATCTTCGCTATCAAGACCGATCACTGATGCATGCTGCTCAGAATCCCCTTCCTTCCTTGATATTTTTTTCACGTACAGTCTCTGAAGAACAGTACCACTCCTTAATGTGGAAACTTCCAGTAGACAAAATTTTGTCCAGATCTTGGATCTTCTGTACTGCTTGCTCTGGTGATGAACAGGAATGAATCAGGTCATCCATGTATCTATCTCTTTGAAGCACAACTGCTGCTTCAGGGAACTCTTCCTTGTTTTCTTCAGCAATATGAAGGATGACGTAACTTGCCATATCCGGAGACGGTTTATCGCCGAATGTCACTCGAAGCAGACGATAAATTTGTGGTTATGAACCTGGGTGTCACTCTCTGGTAACAGAATCTGGAGATACGTCTTGGAAATGTCACCTACAAAGGAAACCACTTCCTCCCTAAACCTGAGCAAAACTCCATACAAGTTGCCTATCAAACATGGTCCCTTGTACAAGAATGAATTCAGAGATGTCCCTTTATGGATACAGGCTGGGTCAAATACAATCCGAAGTGGCGTACTTATTTTGTCTGGTCGATAAAGTCCATGGTGTGGAAGATAGTAGACTGGACTTGCGTCGCATGATTCCTCACTGACTGGCTCTACCCATTTATTTTTCACATACTCTTGCATGGCGTTATCATACATATTTGCTTTATCTTCATTCTTGAGAAGATTCCTCTCTAGTGAACAAAGTCTCCTTTCTGCGAGAGGGTAATTGTCCGGCAGCATGTGCGGATCCATCTTCCAAGGCAAGGCTATTTCATATCTCTCTCCAACTTTCTTGCAGGATGCCTTGAACATCTCCATTGCCGTCTTATCATCACTTGAAATAGATTCTTTGGGACAGCTGCAGTTGGGAGATTGGATCCCAATAGTTTCAAAGCCATAGAATTTCTCCAAGTTAATCTTTTCCATGAAATTGACTGAACAAACTGTTGACATTCTCTTTGTGTTATCAGGCCCAAGGACGTACCATCCAAGCACTGACTTTCTTG